AGGGCTAACTTCAAGTGTAGATATCACACAAGTTTTCGAAATGGAGGCTTTGAAGTTTGAACCACTGTTCCTTCTTTGAAAATGCATGTTTTATATGATATTCTATTGACTATCCCTCAGCCTCACGGTATTTGCTGGTAGTTGTGTTATTCTAAGGCATGAGGACTTATTATGTGATAGAAGATTACAAAGTGAAAGATGACATCTTTTATAGGTTTCCGTACATAGAGATGTGTGCTTAACTTTTCCAATTTGGAGGAAATATCTTTCAGGCTCTCAAATACTTGGATTCTATGTGCACTAGATTCATGAATTATGGTTCTTTCAGGCCTTTATGAAGGTGGAGTATGGAAGGTTCGAGTTGAGTTGCCTGATGCATACCCTTACAAGTCTCCATCCATTGGTTTCCTGAACAAGATTTTTCACCCCAATGTCGATGAACTGTGAGCTCCACTTAAATTCTTTCTGGAGGATGCATGGGAAACTTTATGATGATACCTCTTTCTTGTTTTCTTATGATTGATTTTTCTATATTTTCTGTTGATAACCGATAATGAGCACCTTTTGTCAAAAGAATCGAACTTTTCTATTTCACTAAACTGATAAAACTATGTATTTCAAAAGTAAGCAGATGCACTTCTATAAATGGTCAAAACTCCCTTTATTATTTTGAAAATGGCAGTTCACACAACCAGTGCCAAGAGTATTTTGTATGGCTGTACCATCCACCCAATAATTTAGTTGATGTCCACTTATTTATTTGGAAAGATGGTTAACATTCCAAATTCTTCTGAAATTCATTAGTTGAAGTGGTTGGCTGATTTTATGTTTGGTGATGTTACTTTTCCAAAGTGACATTTTTTTTTCTTTTTGCCCCAATAATTGGCTCTCTGTTTTTGCTAGTAGTCACTCTTTTCTTATGTGGATTACAGATCTGGTTCTGTATGCCTGGACGTCATCAATCAAACCTGGAGCCCAATGTTCGGTAAACTTTAGAACATTGCATTGACACATGTCTTCCGCAAAATCGTGTTTTCCTCTCTCTCTCTCTCTCACGTGCATGCGCGCACGCACGCACACACAAGCCCCAGATAGTAGCAGTTATATCTTCATCATGGTGTTCATTATGTGTTTACAGATCTTCTGAATGTATTTGAAGTATTCCTGCCACAGCTATTACTGTACCCAAATCCCACAGATCCATTGAATGGTGATGCAGCTTCTTTAATGATGAGGGACAGGCAGCAATATGAGCAAAAAGTGAAAGGTAAGAAGATTTCATTTGCATATTCATTTCTTTTGAGAAGACATATAATAACCAAATAGATGGTATAACAAATCTAGAGTGGTCTTCTCCCTCGATTTCCGTGGGTTAGCAGAAGAGGGATATTTTGCATAATGATAAACACTTCGGTCAACACATTGAAAGACGACCATTTCTAGTTTCCTCACTACATCAAGAATTATGTGGACAAACTATAGAGTGGTGTGTTCTCTCCATTTCCTTGTGTTGATGGATGGTAAGCAATCTCTCTTATGTTTCATGCTAAGAGTTTTAAAGTTGAACTCTGAAAAAGGTAGAGCCATTTCCAATTTCTAGTACTTGTTGGAAATCTCACGAGACATGAAAATGCTAGATAGTAATGTCCATGGGTTGATCGATCTTTGATCTCTCTTATGTTGCATGGTAGGTGTTTCAAATACTATCAAAAGACATTTTTCCTTTTAGAATATTATATAATAGCAAGAAACTTCTGAGGTTTATGAAAATTAGTTATCTGGCCTCTTCAATCCCATAGGTTGATAGAAGGGAGATGTCGCTCATGTTGCATGTTAATGATAGAAAATTAGATGTGTCAGTCATTTCCATTGTCCATAATTAAACAAAATCTGGATAAATGTATTAAAACTGGAGGATGATCGCCCACTTTTTCCATACGGAAATATTAGAGGTGTGAAGTGCTAGAGACTGGCGCCCCTCCCTTTGTCTCGATTTGGAACAAGGGGAATGGAATTCATGTTGCATATGTCCTTTTGGGACATAGAAGAACAATTTTCGTGTCTTACTGTTCTTTTTGGTGGAAATTATCAGAGTATTGCGAACGTTATGCTAAGAGAGAGAACATCTCCAATGCTGCTGAGGAGAGCAGTGATGAGGAAATAAGCGAAGGTGACGATGGGGAGTCGAGCGAAGAGGAAGAAGTAGCTGGGCATGCAGACCCTTGATAGGTGCTCCAATGGAGTCCCACTGTCTCATGTGTATGTCTTGCATCAAATCAAACTCCATGCTTTTCATTTGCTTATTTTCTTTACTTCCTTTATCCTTCGATTAAATTTGTGTGCATTAATTGATTGCGCGCACCCAACAGGAAAAAAGCAAGGGAAAAAGTAGAAAAAACGTCAGGTTTGTCACTATGTGACCAGGAACTAGACTTAATATCTTTGTTACTAAATGATCAGGGTAGTTTTTTGAGGGGAAAGTATCCTATACATATAGTATTCATGGTATGCCATACAGAAAGGGCCATTAATTGACATCAAGATGAGTACGGTTCCTCGCCTGGGTGGTATTCAAACAGCAGTTCATCTCTAACAGTCGATGGCCCTGTGTGTGTGGTATATACTCTACAGGCTTTCCATAGCTTACTTTTGATTGTACATGGTACTTGTATCCTTTTCCTTCTGTGTTTCAGCCTTGACATGGGCAGTTATGGAAAGATTTAAAACGAAACCTTGTTACTTACGCATAATTTGTTTCTGAGGCCAAAGAAAAAAGAAATATATTGCCAGGGGGATAGTGTGACCTAAAACTTTCTTGTATCATATTTGATGCAATCTTAGATCAATGTCAATTTGAGTTCAAGATTCCCCTTATTCGATTTGTCCAAATCGACTTTGCTCTGGATTTTGATATGGGACCTTTTGAGCTCTGAATTCTATTGGGGTTTATTTTTATTACTCATGAATAGGGGTGTCTCAACTTGAGATGTATATTCCAATGTAAATGTAAAGGGATGTACCATCTGTGAAATGTAGTATTTTTTGTTTATATTTTCGCCATTCTATCTAATACAAGGGCACTTTATAGAAATGAGTTAAGCATGTAACATTAGGTATGTATTAAATACAAAAACGCATCTTAAAATCACATCTATTTGACCTGATGTCCAATTATTCTCAACATGTGGGATGAGTCCCACTAAAACACAGATTTTGTCTGTTCAAACCCATCAAGAAAAAGTACATAAAAAAAGAAGCTAGCCGTCCAACAAAACTGGGAGAACATTTAAAAGCCCAAGTGTTCGCCGTGGATGGAAGCATATTCTAAACTTATTTCAAAATTATTTCAGGTATTATCCACTTCAAGCAAATTGTTTATTAGATAAAAAATAAAAGAAGATACTAAAGTTTCACGGATGGTATATTTTTTTATATTTATATTTTTATATTTATATTGGAATATGCATCTTATGATGACACGTCTCTACTTATGAGTATAAAGGATAGACCCTGTTGAAAACAAAGGCTCATTTCAAATCCTCATCGGGAAAGCACTTTTTACAAGGGCTACTTAGAGAAAGGACTTAAGCATGTAACATTAGGTATGTATCAAGCATTGATGCAATTTCTATGAGGCTTAGGCTCTATAAAAACAAAGGCTTGTCTCAAATCCTCATCGGGAAAGCACTTTGGGCATTAGAAATTTTCATGATGGCTCTAATATTTATTTCCAATACTAACTAAAAAAATGGTACAAATTTTTAATACCAATTATGAAATTTGAAACTAAAAAGATGGTACAAATCTTGTGGATTTAAGAATATTTATTTTTAGAGTGAAATGGATGGTTTAGATATGGTGTTACAGTATAAATTATTTTTAGGGCTTGAAGTTCAATTTTTTTTTCATGACCATAATGGTCAAGGCTGAGATGATAGATTTGAAGCTTTTTTGATGTCAGAGCTACAATTTTTAGCTGGTCTTGATGTGGGGTTTCATTTGAAATAGGGCTACTGCCCTATCAAAACATTTTCCATTGAAACATTGCGTAGTGTTGTTTAGAAGGTTAACATCTCTCCCTCAAAACATCGACCCAATCTCAAGGAACCCCCAAGTTTATCTGCGATATCAAGCAGACCCTCACTCCTTTCCTCTTTATGAACAAAACCCATATTTATGGATTGTGCTCAAGTTGGATAAATTGTTTATATTTATGGATTGTGTTTAAGTTGGATAAATTGTTTCAGAGTTTGAGAGGTGTGAAAGAGATGTCTATCAAGATTTCCTTGTATTTCGAGAGGTCAATGATGTAGTTGATCGATTAGCCAAACATGGAATCTCCTTATCCTCTGTCTATTTTTAATGTCTTGATCCCAAATGTGTAATTTCATGCTTTATCAGCATTCTATCAATAAAAGTTTTTAACCGTGTCAGAAAAAAAAAAAAGGAAAACAAAAGAGGTGAAATAGATGTTCTTAAGAGTGTTAAGACAAGTGGTTTAGTGCTGAGTTAGACATGAGGTGTTAAAGAGTGAGTTCGGAATGGGCTGATGCATTTATGAGGGCATTGATTGAGTTTAGTTGGCCATGCCTTCTCCCTCTTTGTCTAGGGGGTGTTTGTTTTTGTAGAAGATGCCCTCTTCTACAAAGTTCAGAAGCTGCCATTTCCATGGGTTACCTTGGAAATAGCAGGCTTGTAAAAACGTTTTAGTCTCATTTCCATGGGTTACCTTGGAAATAGCAGGCTTGTAAAATCGTTTTAATCCCATTGGAAGGTGCGGCTTCCGGAAGTTGCGAAACAAAGAAACGCATCCCAAGGTTTTTCAATTCTTCTATTACTGGGGCGGAGTTGTAGAAGAACCAAGTGAGGTTCCAAGTTTTCTTGAGAGAGAGTGAGTTGAATTCATTCTTAGTGGTGGCAACAAGTCGGGTTCGGCTGGAGCTAGACCCAGACCCTAAAACTATTATGGGACTTGGACCCGACCTTACCCGAAATTATAATGTGAGACCCGAATTCAAACCCAGACCCAAACCCAAACCCGACTGGACCTAACCTAAAAATTAAATATGTATGTATTTAAATATATCCATTGCCACCCCTGTTCATTCTTAGGATTAAGTTTTGGATTTGCCTGACCATATTAGTCCGGTTCCTGAGAGTTTGTCATGTTTGATGCATTCAGAGAAGACGAATAAAAAAAACAAACGAGGGTGAGCACAACAACCACTAATCGAGTTTTATAGCTCTAGAACTTGAAAGTTCTATTACGATTTCAATAAAACTTTATATACTTCTTGAGATTGACACAATCTATTGTTTAGAATATGAACTCTAAGTCTAATCTAAACAATTTAAAACTCTAAAACACCCTAATAACTAATTTGTCAAAAAAAAACACCCTAATAACTAATGAATAACAAGAAACATTAGTTAGTATAAAATTTGTCATTATATTCAATCCTACGCTTGAGACTGAGATTTGATGCCTAAGACAATAAAATTATAACAAACCAAGAAATGCCCTTCATAGATAATCAGCAGTCATCAAAATGCAATTTGAAGCACAAAGGAATGCAATTTGAAGCACAAAGGCTAGAGAAATGACTGATAATTTTTTTTTTTTTTGACAAGGTCATAAACTTTTATTAATGAATCAAGGAAACATTACAATTACATATGAACAAACCTGCACATGTAACTATTACAACCTTAAGCCCAAAAGTAAAGCACTTAATTTAGCCATATTTGCCGTAGAAATACCACACTGACCAAAATAACACTAATAGAATTTCTAATAACTACCCTAATCCTCGTTTGGCTTAACACTAATAGAATTCCTAATAACTCCTGTAATCCTCGTTAGGCTAGAGTTCCCTAGTGAACTACCATCAAAATTAAGCTTAACATTGTGTATTTGTCAACTCCTTCTGCCCTTTGGTGTAGAAATGGGAGGGGACTTCCACATGATGTTTTTCAAGTTGAGGACTACATCAACCTTAGATACTCTGTCCCCCTCCCTAGTGATTGAAAACCATGACAAAACTATACGTAAAATCATGTTTTGAACTTGTTTCAAAATTAATGCTCTCTTTTTAAAAGTTCTTCTATTCCTTTCTAACCATACTTCCCATGCCGATCTCATAATATTCTATAGAATTCTCCTTTTTGATAGTCTTGAAACAAAATGTTTAGATGTTTTTATGGTAAAATCAAAAGACAACCAACGATTTGAAAATCCCACCTCGATAGTCGACATGTAAATTGACAATGTAAAAATAAATAATCCCCATTCTCATAATGATTTTTGCATAACAAGGAAATGTTAACCATAATTTTTCCCCTTTCCCTCGGATTGTCCACCATAAAACTTCTCCTTTACAAAAGAATCCAAAGAAAAACTTTAACCTTATACATAGGAGACCATTTTCAGATTTTGTTTAAACTCCTTTCTGCGCACCTAAAACAATCATGAAACAAAAGCCTATAAGCATATTTTATTTTAAAAACCCCATCACTCTCCTTCTCCCATACTACTTAATCACCTCCGCTACAATGTTTTATTTTTATTTTTATTTCTACAAAGTATTTTGAAAATACTTTGTGACCAAACTTTGAGAGTCTACTCCTCTCATGAACCTACACCTATAAAAAATATAATCCTCTCATGAACCCGCACATGTAAAAACTATAAAAACTATTACTGATAATATAAAATGATTAAACTACCCCTAGAATTTCGAAGGGTATTTTGGTTATTTTATTTATTTTTTAAAATAACTTTAATTTTTTTAGGTGCAGAGATGGCAGTATGTACTAAATTGTGTACTCATATTATTTGTAAAAAAATTTAAAAATATCCTCAGAATCATCAAATCTAGATCAAATGATTAATGGTTCACTTGATCTAAATTGGACGGCTAGATGTGGGGAAACGTATAACTTCTATTCAGTAGGGGAAGTATAGAGAGCTTTCCACAATAATGATATTAAAATATATGAAGTTAAATTTTATCAAAAAATAAAATAAAATAAATAAATGGGCGTGTTCAACTACTCGATTCGAGTTTCGAATTCTCGGGCTCGCCTCCTAGGCAGCATGAGGTCCTCGAGTTGGGTGTCCCACTCGAGGATATTAAAAAATTCAAAAAATTATGAAAACAAAAACTAAAAAAATGGAAAATTACTGTGATGTGCTATTTTATTTTATTTTTATAATTTTTTTATATTTTGTCGAATATTAGAAAGTGTTTTGGCCATGAATATTTATTTTTATATTTTTCTATCTTTTTCAAAATCTATTTGATAACTACTTTTTTTTAATCTCATCTACATGTGTTGTGCGTTTAATCTTATTTTAAATATATATTTTCTATATTTTCTGTTTTTTATATTTAAAAAATAATACTTTTTCGCTGCCACAGTACTTGGCCCGAGTTGTGGTTTTGAACACGGTAGGCCCCTTGAAGAAAAGAGCTTGCCCTAAACTTGCTATGAGCTTGTTCACCGCAGTAACCACTGAAGGAACCACCTCACACATATTTTATTTTACTTTATTTTATTTATTGGTTTTACTTTAAAATTGTTTATAAATTGTGTAAGGATTTTGAAAAGCTCGGAAAATAACAAGATGAAAATATAGCGTTAATGCTATAAATCAAACATATTAGGCACTATTTTCAAGAATTTGAGAAAAACAGTATCAAAAAATATAAAAATTACATTAAAATTGAAATCTATTGAGATCAACAATGAAATTATCAAAAAAATCAATCTACAGTGTCAAAAAATATAAAAATCACATTAAAATTGAAACCTATAGAAATCAACAATAAAATTATCAAAAAATCATTCTAATTCGTGACTAACACTCTGCATACCAAAGTCTCAACTACATCTAGCATGATATCTATAAAAATACATAATTATTTTTTATAAAATTTGAGTATTTATTGGAAAACATAAATCGAGTAAAATTTTTTTGAATAACTTTTTTCCCTCATACTCTTCTACTTGGTTTTTTATCAAAAAAAAAAAAAGTTATATAGATCTCAATGAGGGCTCAAAGAATTGGTGAAGAAATGTGAGTGAAATAAAGAAAAAAGGGAACCAAGGTTGCCGATCCCTAATTCCAACAGGCCGGGTTGGGTAGGGGTCTGACCTGGCTAATTTTTACCTGGGCCCAGACTCGAATGGCTAACGTAGACTTGAGTCTTGAAATTTTTAAACAAAAAAATTTATATAAAGATGCAACTTTATAATATAGAGCTACGGATGCCCTTAAAAAATCCATCGGAAAAGGTAGTTTTAATGTTGAAAAACCCTTTGATTGATCATCTCGACATCGAGATGTATGATTATGAAAAATCAAAAGATTTTAAGTCTTAGAAATAGTGCATTTTACAACATATTATCTATACCGTCCATTTTCAAGATTTCAATATGTTTATAGATCTACTTGATTTTAACCATTTTTAAAATTTAAAATTTTATAATTAGATATAAAAATAGATTTTGAGATAATCCTAAGAATGTTTTACATCAAAATTATATACCATGATAAAATTTAAAGGTGTAGCTTACCTCTATACCTACGAATGCATCCTTATGCAAACTGCACCTATTTTTAAATATATAATTTATACACAGTATAGTTTATATTTTATATATTTTTAAAATATTCTATACTGGGTTGGGATGGGTCCGTTCGACCACGACCTGGACCCTGACCCGGACACAGACCTAGCCCTTTTTCGGTTTGACCTGCCGGGTGAGCGGGTTCCCAACCGGATTGCCACCCCTCTCCAGCGGGGCCCGGTAGGAGTACGAAATCGTAATTATCTTCTATTTGGGGGCATAAATGTAAATTGCGATCCTTTTCAAGGGTAAAGCACCATCTTGATGAGAAAATTTCAGGAACCCTAGACCGAGAAAAGAGATATAAGGCCACTTCTGCACTGCGTGCTCATCTCTCTAAGATCGAGGTGACCTGCTTTTTTGCGCTTGTGATCGAGAAAGCCCTAATACTAGAAATCTTGTTTTCCTAGGTCAGCTCTCCAATCGCCAATTTCATTTCTGTAAACTATAATTGCTTTTTCCATTGTTGTATCTGATATTTTCTAAAATGTTACTACCCTTTATTGCTCTTTTGACTGATTTCTAAGGTTTATCATGTGCAATCCATGCAGTCCTTATGGGTCCTCTATGCTCTCGGATTTTCTTTCTAGGGTTTTTCTTCTCTGAAAAAGAACGTTCTTTCTAGGACTTGAGTTTTATGTTTCTCACTATCTCTATCATCTGACAGTATTTTTTTCCCACCAAATTCCTTCGTACTTCTCTCGTTGCCCTTTTGATTAAGGTTCCCTCTTGGTGTTACTGTGTTTTGTCTTTCTATGCGGCCACTGATCCGTCCTAGGGGTTTTTTCTTGGATGTTTATTTTTCAATGGAAGGAGAACAATTCTTCTGGGGTTTCTTGGGATTTCATTTAGCCCTTTCTAGGGTCATTATTTGGGGTTTGGATTTAGGATTGCATATTTATGGGATTATTAACGTTAATTAGGGTTATAAGAAGGACTGTATAAATTTGTTTTTGTTGGTTTATTGATATTCATTTTGGTAGGATGTGGGATACATTGAGTTGGGTCCAGTTTTGTTGTTTTAGGTGCCATTTACAGTAATACTTTTGCATGATGTTATTATATTATGTGAAGGGGAGTTGATTGGGAGATACCTGACAGTGCTTGTCTGTCACTCTGTCTTCTTGTTTCCATCAATTCATTGGACAGCAGCCCTTAATGGACTGTGATTTCCTTATTCCATTGAATTATAATATACTTGATTTATTGATAATATTGTTTCTTATTTGGTTGTTAACTAAAGAGTAAAGATGTTGGTAATATGTTGGCTTTGTGTTAGTCTTCGATTTCTCTGGAAGCACTCTTAAGAGACATTTATGTCCATATCTGCGTTCTAAAGATGAATAATATGAGTTCAGGTGATTCCCTCGCCTCATGCTGACTGCTTCAACTTCTGTTAACTCTTGGCATCCATTTTCTAGATATCTTTAGTTGGGCTTAATGTAAGCCCAAGTAATAGAAATAAAAAACTGGATTACGTTGAGTTAACATCTTAGAAGTTTAAAACTGAAGTATCCATCTCTCTCTCAAAAAAAAACTGAAGTATCCATCAAGTCCAATCCTCCTCATACCTTATGAAGTGAGTTTGCCATCTTGTTAGCCTCAAGTGGTACATGAGGAGAGAGAAAGGTGCATGATATAATCACTGAAAACCCTCCTCAGACATATCCATTACGTGCCATGTAAATCTTTAGTTTCTCAGGGGACTGAGAATGTGTAAAACCTATTAGTTTTGATGGTTAGACATAGGGAACATGAGAGAGAGAGCCAATTGAAGCTGTGGAACTCGATCAGGCTTGAAAATGGGCCTGTTGGCCAAACCTGGTTGGCAGGTGCTCCATATGGTTGCATCGTTATTAGCTTTATGGTGGCTGTTGGTTTGGTGCTGGGGCTTTTGTTCTTTGGCTGCCCATACTGCGGAGTTTCATGGTGCTTATCATCTTGGAGTGGGATCATTAAAAGAAAATTTTGTACATGTTATATTGTTATTTTACTTGTGGTGGTATATTGTTTGCGTGGTACAATTTTAGTGGAAAATTTTGCAATCCCAGTAAAAAAAAGTATAGAACTTGTTTTAAGATTTGTGGGCATAGGGCTCACGACCTTTTAACAACAGAAATCATTTACGGCTTCTGTAATTGTAATTTGTGGTTTCCTTTTAAATTAAGTCCAAATCAACTCATCACTGTGTAATTAATGCTTTCTTTAATTCCTTATTTGTTATTCAGTTTTTCAAGAGGTTTCATTTGGGCTAGTCGTCCAGTTATATCTGAGGCAATAAACATTGGAATTAGATGATTTGATTCACTTCTAAATACAAGCATGTAAATTTTGTTTTTGTTTTTATTACTGTAAATTTGCTACAACGTGCTTGGAAACCAAATTAAGGAATATTGTTGTCGTGCCCCTTATTTAAAACTCAATGACTTAATTATTTTTAAATTTTCTGTTGCATTATGACTCATTAACTTATTCACAATAGGAATGTGATTCCACCAACTTGTTCTACTCTTGGATTATTGGCTGATAATCCCTTGTTTATGGTTTAGGCATTATGAAATTATATATTTTTATAAATTGGAAGCTACATTTGGAAGTGTTCAAAGTTGACTAAATTCTGGCAAATTTCTTGCTGTTTGGATAGCTTGGTTCAAATTTCCATATCTGACTTGTGAGCTATGTTAATTTTAAAGGATTTGGAATTTCATGCCCATTATCTCATGACATATTTGAACCTATATATAGATATATATACATATATCTGGGAAAAAATGAGTTTAGCCCACTACCTAACACCACAGTGTTAGCCCAACAGCCCAGATATAATATGAGCCTATTCGATGGTCACAATTGCATTTATTTGAATATATAGATAGGAAAAAATGAGTTTAGCCCACTGGTTAATGCCACAGTCTCAGTCCAATGGCCTAGATTTAATATGGGTCGATTCGATGGTTACAATTGCATTTATTTGAATTTTTTTCTATAAATTCAAATCACTTGAAATTTTAAGCATCTTTTCTCCAAAACTAAGAGAATCTAATAAAAATATCAAAAAAATAATTCGCAAAAAATAAATTAGCCAAAATACATCCAAAACTTTTCGGGCGTATTTTGGTCAATTTATATTTTGCAAATTATTGTTTATAAACATGTTCATAGAAAACCGAGGTCAATGGCTCGTTTACTTGCATGAGAAAGCGTTTAGAGGAATGGTATCCTCATGACACAGATAGCCGCCTAGGACTACGTTTGACGGAGCCAATTTTTGTAAACTATTTTGGAGCATTCTTCACCTTTTATGGATGCACACACAATTACAAAAGGAAATATAATTTCTTGGTGGAAAAACTTTCCCTATAGTCTGTATCTCCCCTAGGTTTGACTTTGGATATTGTTTAAACTTGTTATCTCTTAAGCAAGATTTTAATGGAATGTGCTTGTATCTTATGGATGGTTTGTATCTCAAAGGGATCAAGGTGGTCAATTTCTAGGCCATTAGTCTTAACTTTGTAAATTTTATACATGTCCCCATAAGATTGGTCTCCTTTAATGTTGCCATTTAGTGTTTATTATTATAGAAAAATTTATTGCAGAGTTGGGAAGGAAGGGTTGGAATTAGAGAGGTAATGGCTATCTTATTGAAAGCGGCTCGGTTAAGTCTTAAGAATGCTTATTGTGCATCCATTTCCTTTCATAATTTTTCTTTCCTCCTGGCACAATTTGGTGTCATAGGTTTGGTTTTTTTTGTTTTGTGAGAATGTCATAGGTTTCATTACATTGATCGTTGCAATTCCATTCAAACTTTTCTTTTTTTATGTGATGCACAACCATATTGTATGGGTGTTGAGCCTCGTCCTATATTGGAGCACAGATAGTGTGCCCCAATTCCTTGGGGTGCCAGTAACACCATAGGGGAGATTATGGATAAGAAAATGTATATTGTGATTGTGGTCTCTAAAAACGTGAATCAGTTAAGGTCTTCACCATTCAATTACAAATAGGTGACTGTGGACAGAGTCTAGGAGCCACCAGAGTGGGATGTGATCATGTTGTTAGGTCTTAATGTCTCTTTATGACCATTTATGGGGATGACCTTGTTGGACTGTGGTTCATGGGGATGACCCTGTTAGATTGATTGTGACTTCATTGTACAAAAGGTAAATGGTCTCTTTGTAGACAATCCGTATATTTAAAGGGTGCGATTTGTATAGAGCCGAGGCTCTAAACAATCAAAGTAAAGCGCACCTTCAAATAGGATTGAGAAATGTGGTTTTAATACTGGAAACCATTGTGATAGCCTTAAAATATATTTTCATGTTTTAAAGCTTTAAAATCAGTGTTGATCGAGCAGCTCTATGAAAACTTGAAAATCTTGAAAATTGACGGTCCAAAAATGCGTTGCAAGATGCACTATTTTCAAAATTTGAAATCCATTTTTTTCTCATGTCTATGCATCTTGATGTCGAGATGATCAATTTGAGGATATTTGGGCATCAAAACAACATCTTCTAGTGAAATTTTTGACGTGGGCTCTAATTTGATTGTTTAGAGCCTTGGCTCTATATAAACTTTTTCCATATTTAAATAAGAACAATTGTTTCATGCGAGCTGGACCACATTTCTATAATATGTGGTCCAGAGGTATAAAGCATCCATCTTAAAAAATGGATGCAAACAGGTGGTCCATTTAAAAACAATTGTAACTAACGTTCCAAATGATTTTCTTACTATAATTATTATTTCTAGTTTTCATTTCTTTTTTCTTTTCATATTCATGATCTCCATGTTAAAGATTATATATTCTCTAAAATTAGAATCAAATTATATTTAAAAAATATATTACTGTCAAGCCCACATTTCTACATGTGTGTGCTTGGCCGCATACTAATCGCATCCTTTAAATAATCGGACCTCAAATTCCTCTTAAATCTGATTTTGAAAAGCCCAAAGTCATGCATAGAGAGAAAGAAGATAGAGCAAAGAAGAGAGAAAGAATAGGGAGAGGAAAGTGAGGCATGTAGAGAGAGAAGTTCATAGATAGATAAATAGATAGAGAGAGAAGCGGGGCACATTATATATAAGGAAAGGAGAGAGAATAGGGCATATATATGTGGTACTCGTTCAACGATTTTTAATCTTTTTGCAAATTAAAGCCCTTCGTTTAGGATCTCCATTGAGGAAACCCTAGAAAGATCATCGTCTCTCAATAAACAGGTCAGTTGTATAAACCAATCGCTTTGCGTTCTTCCATGGCCATGTCAGATCTGTTTCGATGTCTCTTTCTCCTTCGTTGTTCTCTCGTTGCCCGCTTGATTAGGGTTTCGATGCGCTCTTGATGTTTACTGTGTTTTGTCTTTCTATGCGCCCACTGATCTGTCCTAGGGTTCTTTCTTGGATGTTGATTTAT